ACTTCAGTCTAAATTGAATTCTTTAAAATTTCACCACAATACAAAAATCATGAACTTGTATTAATAATATTTAATACATTGATCATGCACTCTATCCACAGGAGGGTGGGAAGCCATGGCATTTTTGGGAATTTAAGGTGTTGCATTATTTCATAAGTCATTTGTTTCTAAAAAAAGAAAAATTAAAAGATAAAATTTAAATACGAAACCATCTATTATTAAGTAATTGCCTGTATCTTAGTATAGAACAGATCCTATTTTCCTTTGATTTTGAAATATCTGATATTAATTTGGAATGAGGTAAGGTTCTATTAAAGAATATGTTATTTGCAGACTCTTTAAACCAGTGGATCTGAAGCAGTTTTTACACCATTAGCAACTGAAACACACCTCTTCAGGTATTTTGAGGTATTTACTATTAACTAAATTTGGAAAATTTTTAGGTTTACTCTAAGTGCAGACAACATTGGAGTCAGAGAAATTTTCTGTGGATTTTACTTAAGGTAAGAATAAAGCAGTTTGCAGTCTTTTTTGTAATGACAATACTGCTTGAGTGAAAACTCTGAAACAATACAGCTTTTAAATTTAAAACGGTTCGTAAACTATCACTGAATGTTTTTTCTGTTGCCAATAGGATACTGCTTTCCATTAATGGAGAATTCATGCCTTTAAAGCATTTTAAATATGACAATATTTATAAATGTGGTTTGGAGAAATTGTTTAAATTATTTTTCTTAATTTTCTTTCTCCAGGGTAGAGTCTTTCAACAAATAATTTGTAGTAATGACTGTAGTGACTTCAATTTAGGAGTGTAGTAGTTATGTTAAAGGTTAAATATTTGGTCATATCAAAGCCAACACAGAACTTGCTACTGTGTTTTCTTTCTTCAGTGATAAATAAAATACTCACAGAAAAAAACGAAGAACACTATCTCCTTGGGATCTGCCATTAGAGGGGCGCTTATCAATGTGGTAGTTTTATAGTGTGCTATTTTATTTTAATTGTCAACCTAAATTGACTGTTAAAGCACAGTAGAACATTAAGATTATTGCTGCACTGCTAGAGGAAAAACAAAGAAGAAGAAGGCAAAAGAAGAAAGATTTTCTAGCCATTGACAGAAAGCATATCAACCCAGGAACAGAAGATGGGCCAGAGAAAAAATAAAATATTTCTGCTTACTTTTAAGGAAAAAAAAAGGGAGTGGTCCTGTAAAGCAAACACATTGAGAAACAGATGGCTTTTGTTTCATTAAAAAAAATCACAATCAGATATTCACTCTGGAACTGAAATGCTGGGAGCTATTTGTGAAACAGAAAATGAGTGAAGGACAAAAATAAAACAAACTGATAGTAGAACTCACCTCAGCTCATTCTGTTGTTAGATATGATTTCAGAAACTCCCTCAAGAATATTTCTTAGTTCTTATAGCCCTTCACTCTGATTTAAGTACTCTATAAAAACTCATCCTTGTTTTTGGCACAAACTGCTCAATTGCATAGAAAATCTAGCCTCTTTGTTAACTTCTACTTTATAATTCTTGAAGGAAGCAGCCCATCCTCTTCTGCTGCCTGCCCTTACACCTACCAGCCTTAAATTTCTGGCTGCTCTGGACATGGCCTCCATTCTTTTTCCTGTTGCAACGTGTCTGAGACAACGTAAGCTTGCTTGAAGAGGGATCTTTTCTCAAATCACAGGGAAATTCTAGCCTTAATTTCTTTCTCTGATAAGATTCTGATTTTGTCAGGGAAGAATCTGTTTTTCAAATCTGAAATAGCCTTTTAGAAAAAGCCTGAATATCTGATTCCTGACATAATATATATCAGTAATTAGCTATTCAACATTTAAAACCTCTATTTAGTTTGACATACCAATCCCACTTTCTGGAATTTATTTCTCAAAAATTCTCTAACACACATGCAAAATACTATGGAAATACTATAAAATAATAATCTTAGAAAGAGCAAGAGTTTGGAAACAACAGAAATTATCAGCAATATGGGATTATCTGAGTCAAATTTGGTAATCCATATACTGAAATATTATACAACCAGTAAAATAAACCAAATCATCCTATGTGCAAGGAAAATGTTACATGGAAAAAACTTAAGGTGTCAATCAGTAGTTGTATTATCTCTTGCATTTATGTTCATATGAATATCCCTGGTGAAACACTCACAGGTATAGTGATTGTGTCAGGGAAAAGAGAAGCTTTTATGTTTTAAACTTGATATATTTGAATGCATATTATGCATTATCAATTGAAAAGTACAATAAAATATAGAATAGGTAAATATAATCACAATACTACTGCACTTTGAAATTACTAATTGTAGAAAAAGATAGTGCTCTTGATTTTGTGCTCTGGGCAATTTTAGTTTCCAGATGTAAAAAAGAAAAAATTTATAGAGCAAATATATACATATATTTTTTGCTTAAAAGTATGAAAATAGATCTAAAAATCTCAAAATATTCCAGTGAAATAAATTAATTATAACTAACATGAGATTTTGATAAGTTGACCTGATGTTAAGAAAGTACTTTAAAAAACCAACTAGCAACAAATATCTACAAATTATAATTGGAAAATATATCATTACACTACAGAGCAACAAAACCAAAATATTTAGGAATGAAGGTTAACAGGAAAGCACAGGATATATAATGGAATACATAGAATACTATTAATTAACATAGTGGTTCTGAATATTTGGGAATATTTTTCAAATTTTTAAGTGATAAAATGTAACACAAAAATGTCCTTTTGCCATAATAAATATATAACTATAATAAAGTTGTAAGTAGACTCTCAATGTTATTAAGTGAAAAATCATTTAAAAACTTATATAGAAGAATAAAGACCCAAGAATAGATAAAGAAAGCAAAATAATTTTACCAGAATATACTACATATCTACTATAAGCAAGTTAACTTAATAATGAAATAAAATTGAATAAATTCAAAAATATAACAGCATAGATAAATCTGAGATAGATTTCAGTCATTGGACATATATCAAATGTAGTTTTCCAATTTAGTGCAAACAATATTTAATAATTACTGCTGGTACATTTGAAAGAATACTAGCTATTTGTCTATATACCATACACAAAAAATAATTCCAGAAAAATAATAATTGAGTACATAAAAAAATCAGGAATAAATTTTTAGCACCTTTCAGCCAAGTCACCATCTTCTAGTAATTAGCCAAAATCAAGAAAATGAAGGACAAGAGGTGAGGAACCTGGAATGTTCCTTTTAGAGAGTATGGGGTTGTTCTTTTAGATACACTCATACAAATCTACGAAGAGCGTCATATTGTAAATATCAAGGGAACAGGTAAAAAAATATGACAGGCAAATGTTACCATGGCAAAATTGGAACAGTCTATAATGTTACCTAGCATTCTACTGGCATTATTATGAGCAAACAAGTTAAGGACAAGATACTTGCTAAGAGGCTTAAGGTACGTATTGAGCATATTAAATACGCAAAGAGGAGAGCGAGTTTCTGGAAACGTGTCAAGGAAAATGATCAGGAAAGAAGGAAGCCAAGGAGAAAGTCACCTGGGTTCAGCTGAAGCGCCAGCCTGCCTCGCCCAGAGAGCACACTGTGAGCCTCTCTGGAACCTGTCCCCTGCGGACTCATGGTGTAAGCTGGAGGTGTAGCGCTGCCATTTAGCGCCTAAGTAGTGGCTAAGTGTTCTAAATTCTGCCTAAAAGGATAAAATTGCACCATGTTTCAAAGATGTTTTTCTTCATCGAACAGGCGTGTGGTGCCTTTACCTCAGAGAAACAGATGCTGGAAGCAGATTTTCACTGTACCTAGTCAGTTGTGTCAGGTTGCTACTGTACAGTAATTTTCTTGCCGAAAGGTGTGGAGGTATTGTGCAGATATATACCCAAATGGCCTAATATTTACATTGGCTTAAAGATCCTCTAAATTGTCATAGGGAAGAGGTGTATACAAATGAATGGAAGTCAGTGTATGGCAGTTGAGTAAAATAGTGTAAATTTTAGCAGAAAATCAAGATAGTAAATAGCTCATGGTGGAGATCATTGTAAAGAAATGGGGCTGGGGGTTTAGCTCAGTGGTTTATGCTACCTGCGTCACAAGCACATGGTCCCAAAGAAAGAAAGAAAGAAAGAAGAAAGAAAGAGTAATTTATGGCAAGGCTGCATTGTTGAAGGGAATAGGAACTATGGAAATCAGTATGGAGGATTCCTTTAAAAACTAAAACTAGAAATTTCTTTTGACCCCACTATTCTTCTGTTACCTATCTTCCCAAAAGAGTTAAAGTCATCATCTCAGAGTGATAGCGAAATCTTGGGACTGGCCTATATGCCCATCAACATATAAATGTTCTGTGTGGTAAACATGTCACCAGCATGCATGTCCTGCTTGTAGGAACCTGGTATGTTGTAGCTCAAATAATAAAAGTTTTCCCTTTTTTTTTAGATAAAACTTTTTTGTTGTATGACTTTGCAAAGTTATCAGAAAAATCTAGGCTCTCTCCTGTAGTACTTTCATATTGCTATTATAACAAATTTACCACAAAGTTGGGTTAAAACAATACAGATTTGTTGTCTTACAATCCTGGAGTCCAGGAGTACAAACACAGTTCAGCAAGACTTCATCTCTCCTGATGACTGTAAAAGATAATCTATCCTTTCCTCATTGTAGCAGCTTCCTCTATTCCTTGGCTACCTTCTCACTTCTGTATTGTTCTTTCTATATCGTGGCACTTTTGATTCTTCAGTGACAGCAAGATGGGTGACAAAGATGTGAGGCAGGTGCCTCTTACTTGTGATGTACCTTTATGATGTAGTGGCTTCTGAAAGAAGTCAACACTCTCTTGGTGAGCATGTTTGTGGACTGCTAGAAGATCTTACAACTCTCAGGATCTCTCTCCCTTTTATAGAGATCTTATCTAGAAGATCGCTTCATATTATTCCTGCGTCAGCCTCTGATTCCTTCAGCCACTGTGTTCCACTCCTGGAGGTCTTGATGGGCAGGATCATTTCTGTGACAGCCCAAACTATCCTTCCTCCTGGGAGGTCCACGTCTGACCAAGAAGAGAAAAAAATGCTTGATCCGTCAAATTCTGGAAGCACAGGCCCTTCCCAGGGTACACAAGCTTCTTCATTCTGCAGGTCGGCAGGATACTCTGACGTGTAAGGCACCAGCCCTTATATTCCACAATTTCTAGAGAATATATGTGAGGCTGTGTAAGCAGTTTCTTCAAATGTTCTGTTTACCTGGCTAATAATGAGAGAATGCTCCCCCTTCCTGTGAGACGGTGCTATCTCTCTAAAGAATTTTTCCAACTTTCTAAATCTCTAACGAATTCTAGTGAATTTGCTAATATAATTAGGAGAACTAGTATGGCATAACTATCTTCTCTAAAATAAAATTTCATTAAGATAAATTTACATAACAATAAGATGAGTGCATTTAAGAGCATGGTAATCAAACTATGCCTACCACCACCACGTTCAAGGTACAGAATATTTGCACACTTGAGAGAATTCTTTCCTGTCCCTTGTCAATTAATCCTCAAACTACCAATCCCTATTTTCTTGGCAGCAGGCAGCCCTCATCTTCTTGCTATCATTATTAATGAGATTGATCTCATCTAAAATTTGGCATATATAGAATCATAGGATATATAGCCCTTCTGTCTTCTGTCCTTTACCATAGCGCTTCTGGAAATCATTTTAATTTGTTGCGTTTTTCAGTAGTTCAGTGTTCAGTTTTTAATGCCAAGCAGTGTTCCAATTTATGAACATACCACAATCTGTTTAGCCACTCACATGTGTACGGATATTGGACTTTTCAGTTTTGGCTGTTGTGATTAAGCTTCTATAAATATTTATGTGCTAGTGTTTGGACATTTGCACATTTTCATTTCTTTTAAATAAATATCCAGGAAAAGAATTGCTGGTTCATAGTATAAGTACACTTTAACCTTTAAGGAAATGAACAATTTTGCAAACAATAGAATAATTGGATTCTGCCTGCTTAATTGTAAGTCCCACAGAGATAATATGACACCTTCCTTTAGAATTTGAGATTGCTTAGTCACTGTAACCCTTAGTTTGGGGCTCTTAGATGATATGTAGCTAACATATAAAATATTCAACTTTCTCCTTATAAACTACCAGACCAAAATATCTGAGATGGCAGGTATCTTGGCTTATTTCTTTTTTCTCCCAGGTACATGGCTGTAGAGGGAAGGAAAAGCCCACCCATTGAACTGAAATTCAGGACCTTTCAAAGCATTGCCTGAACACTAAAAAAGTAATTATTTTAGTTATCTCTTTCATTGTCTATATAATTTAATAATTTGAGCTGGAAGTCAGTAAAACATACTGATGTGAAACGTGGTGAAGCAATACAGTCAACCTCTCCACTCTGGTTGGGTGTAAGAAATCCTTTCCATTCCAAAACAGAAGAAAATAACAAGGCAAAAGGGAAAAAGAAGAATGGTCATCAAAGCTACATTTTTTTTCTTTCTTTCTATCATCTGAACCTCTGAAGCTATACCCTGAGTTTGAACATGTATTAAAATTGGCACAAAGCCATTTTCCTCCTGGGCTATAATTTCAGACAGTTTTGTCTGGGAAGAAATGACCTTTCAGCCACTTCAAAAGCATCTCCTCCCTCACACTCTGTAATGCCAGAATTGCCTGGGACTATAGCAGGGCTCTCAATTAAAAAAGATGACTTCTAAATGGTGTCTTACTGTTGCACCTCAAGCTCTTGATGGTGACCCCAGTGGCCTGAGGGAGAATTGTGGAAACACAAGAATTAGGGTCATGAGGCTAGAAATGAACAGCAAATTAAAAGGAAACTACTACTACATTTTAATGGAGGACATTTTCTGAATATGAAATATAGGTAGTTGTAAATATCCCTAGAGAAGTCCAGTTAGTTCCGACCAGTGGCATCTGGCTGTTCTGAACACTATTTCCTGAGCTTGTCTTACTCTTCTCTGTTCCAGGGCATTTAGGTTTCTTGAAGATCAAAAGCACACTTGGAAATATGCCTTTATTTTTTCCCTCCTCATTTGCCTTTGTTCATTCTCTTCTGATTGCTTTCAACCTATCCCTCTATTGTACCCTTTGAGTTTTGGAATGCAGTTTTTAAAAAGTACTTCCTAGGGAGAAAGGAAGTCTTGTCACAATTTGATTTGTCTTGACAAGCTATCCATTATCTTGTTTTGATAGGTGTAGTCAAATGCAGCTATTTAGTGTTCAATCACATTAAAATAAATATATGGCTCTCACTGGCCCTTTTCTTAAAAAAAGAAGAAGGATGTCAGTATCTTGTACAGATAGAGTGGAGAATCCTGTCTGTGATATAACTGCCTTAGGCCACCTAGGAGAAATGCTGAGAGTTCCTATTCCTTTCCTCAGACACCCGATTTTCAGATCTATGAGCAGTTTATCATATTCCTATACAAAGACTTATATCCAAATATATCATGCCGTGAACTGTGCAAAAAAAAAAAATTGGTTAACATACTAACAACAAACAAAACTTAATGTTAACCTAATATCACACTGCACACTCTAGACATATAAAAAATAATTTGGTGTCAAAGAACTGAACAGTTTTTAAAGGAATCTGACCTCAGGTTGGGGAAGAGGTTGAAAAATGCAAAACAAAGGAAACAGGCACAAAGCAATGATTAATTAGATAAGATCACAAACAACTGTTAAACCCTGTGTTGGATTAATGAATAGTAGAAAGTCGTTAAGAAAGTATGTGGTAAATGTGAATATACTAAAACGGCAGGGTGTTATCCACAAATAAACTAGGCCATCGATGTTGATGTAATTATAGCAACTGCAACTTCAACTAATTTATGTATTGCATAGGAGATTCTGGAAAAATTTAATTAAGTAAAATGGTTCCTACTAATTTTACACAGCTCTATTTTGGCCAATTTGTTTTAAGGTTTTTGATATTATAATAAAGACTCGGGATGTGGGCCTTCACATCTCTCCTGGGTATTTCAATAGGAAAAATTTGTAGAAGTAGAATTTCTGGGTGTAAACACATGCATACTTTTTAAAAGCATATGTATATCCCAGAAATGATCACCACCAACACTGAGTAAGATTGTACTCCCACCAGAGAGGTGTTCAGTGATGGTCTATTTCATTGACCATGTACCTTAATGGTTTCAACTTCATTTTCAACAGCTTAATCAAACATTTCCTTATAATCACCTAGTTTCCTCTTCCCCAAAGAAGTATTGATAAATACAGTATTTTTTGTGTGTCTCTCATTTCCAGCAATATTTTGGCTCCCCCTGGCTACTCACCAAAGTTCATCGCCCTCCAATCCACCTCTGATTGGAATGATGCTGATTTGAAAGAAGGATCAGTCTATGCCCCACCTAGAATAACATCCAGCTGAAGGCTCTCATTGTCACCCTTTTCCCCAGCTCAGAGAAAGCATGTGTGGAAGTAGGCGGAATGTGCGGACTGTGAGTGAAGCACAATTCTGCTGGAGCCCAGAGGCCAAGGCCGGATGAAGCAGGGCTCAGGGTGGTGCGCACTCTGCATTTGCCAAGGGTGCCAAAGGCTGCCTCTCTCTGGGAAGGGGGAGACGTGAGCGAACTGGGTTTGAGTTGCCCGCCTACCTCAAGGCTGCCGACACACAGTGGAAAGATGTTCCACAGAGACACAAAATGACCTTCTCCCAATCAAATCAAGTTAAAGAAACAAAAAAACCTGATCCTTGCCTCTTCCTTCTAAACCAAAGCAAAGCCTCAGAAAATAAGCATCCCCTTCCTTTGACTTATGTATGTACTGAATGATTGAACAAATCAACGTCATTGCTGATAAAACTTGTCCTTAATGCCTACGATGGAAAAGGAAAACACAGATCTTTCTCTGTAAGAAGGAACAAGTAGCAAAAGAAAGGTCATATATTTTAAAGCGATATTTTAATTAATCAGACATATTAAAGCGTTCAATTATTAGGTGATACCTCATGCTCTTTTTAATAAATGCATGTCAGATATTAAGAAATGTGTCTTTAAAGTAACACCAAATTACTCATTTAAGTAGGGCTACCATTTTTTTGATCTGGCCTTGATCTGTGTTCTGAATTGTAGCAAATCTTTAGCATATTTGGCCAGCAGTCAAGATTGTTTTTGTAATTGCCAGGATTGAGACAAGCCTTCTACTCTTCTCCTTTAAACTTTCAGTGGATAACCAAAGATATAAGCATATAACTTTTTAACCTCCACACTGAGTCCATTTAAAATTTAATGTCTTGGCTTTCAAAAAAAAATCTTGATGCATACATTTAATATATTTAAGATCATAATGACAAACCTGAAAAGTTTTTTTCAAGTGGGCAACACTCTAGGTAAAAGTTCTACACATGCTTTGACTTTGATATCCCCAGGTTTTTGATGCTCTACAGCAAATTTCAAACCACTTTAGGCCACTCAAGAGGTATGACTTCAGAGTTGGTTTTCCAATTAAGTGCTCCAAAGTCATCCAAAGAGAAGCAATGTTATTCAACATAACAATGCATAAATCTACAGGAATGAATCTATGATAATTATGTGATTAGTACAAATACTGAAGGTTTTCCATCAGGAAAATTCCTTACTGCATTTATTCAATTTCCAAATGAAATAAACCAAATCATGTATGAATTAATCCAGGTATTTGCAGATAGCTAAGAGTGATTCCATCTGAGCTTTTCCCAAAGTTCTTATTGTCAAAATTATACTTAGTCTCTTGTACAGTTTTATCCTGTTACCCCTCATTATATGCTGCACACTCTTGTCATATTGACAACTCTGGTTTGAATGTATCTCCTCCAAAATTTATGTTGAACGTTACTAATCAATGTGATAGCATTAAAGGGTGAAAGGGAAAGGGAACAAGGGAAGGAGGAGGGATGAAAGGAAAGGATATATAAAAACAGTGGAAGGGAAAATGGAAACAAAGATTCAATAAATATGAAGGAGAAGAGTTGAAAGGAGGGGAGGAGAAATGGGAAAAAAAGAATCAAGATGTATTATATACAGGTACAAATTCCCTATGATGAGTGTCAGCACTATGCATGGCAAATATGTAGTAATAAAAAGTTTAAAAAGTGACTAAGATGTGAGTGTAGAACTCTCATGAGGAAGTTTAGTAACCTCACAAAAGGACTTGACGGAAATACCTAGGCATCTTTGTGTGCTTTTCTGTTTCACCCTGTGAAGATAGTGTGTATTTCTTCTGGAAGATAGTGTTCAAGGAGCCACCTTAGAAGCAAGTGCTGGAATTAATTTTGTACTTATGAAGAGGAATAAATTTCTATTCTTTATAAATTACTCAGGCTTAGGTATTTCTTAGAGCCACAGCATTGGAGTAAGACACTGAATCTTCTGCTATTTTCACCATGAGTTCTGTATTTTTCCAGGGAGATCGGGCTCTACCTTGGTTGCCAGGAAGCCCATCAGGCTCAGTTTCACTACCCCTTCCCAAGGCAGTGTCCCCTGTAGTGGTAAAAGGCAGCTTCCCGAGGTTTCTCCTCATTGCAAAAAGTCAATGCCTCTTCACTAGGGAGGGCTCACATACTGGGAAGCAGCAGTTAGTCCAGCAGGAGGAATGAGAGAACAGACTGGAGAGGAAGTCAGTCAGAGAACGTGGTGGGCTTCCAGCTTCATTTAGCCTTTTCCCAAAAATCAGGGGCAGGAGTCTTCCTACTAGAAACAGTATAACCGAGGGACACTTTCAGAAATGATAAATTTGTTTTGAATGGCTAGACATCAAAAGGTCGTTGTTGAAATCTTCCTAACATAGGAAAGTTGGTGCCTGTGTGCACTATATTGCAAAGGGGATGATAAATGCATATTCTAACAAAAGTTAAAAGACAAATATGAAAAGGAGTCTTTATGAAGTTATTTGTTTGCTCTCAGAAATACTTCTAGCCTCAAAGATCTGAAATTTTCAGGTTATTGGCACCTCATGGGAATGAGTTTTGCCTCAAGAAATCTAATTAATAAACAAGCTCTCAGGATATATTTAAACTTCATTAAAATCTCACATATATGTATTAGGTAACAAGTGCAAAATAAAGTAGGGCTTCAGATCTAACATAAATGACAATGTCTGCTACTTTTGAAGAAAAGGAATGGAAATAGAGAGAACACATTTGGGAGCATGGAGCTAGTGTCTTTCATTTGCCATTAAAAGTATGATTGATGTGCTCATGGTTTGCTCCTTATTTATTATTCCTTATATGGGAAAGAAACCATCCTAGAATACAATAGCTTTTATTGAATCTTGTAATCAAGAAATGAAGGAATAATTCATACTCTGAGCTGCCCTTCTTCGTCCATCCAGGTAGTCAGCAAAGTCTGTCCATTTTAGCAATTTAACATCTCTCAAACCTACTTGTTCTATCTTTCTCATCTGCCTGCCTTTGTTCATTTTTAATTTTTTTTCATTCCAGCTCAAACGATCAACAGAATTCTAACTGACATTGTTGCCATCAACTTTACTGCAAGCACAATGTTATCTATATAGCACAGACGGTCTCTTGTAAAACAAGATGTGCTCAAGTCTGTACCCTGCTCTAAGTCCTTAAATGGCTCCTTAATAGCAGAAAGACAACCCATCTAGAATGGAGCCACTTAACTTGGTTGCCCCAGCTTTCCCATTATAACTCAATGGGTGCATTCTATCTTTCTCTCTCCTACGGTGCTCAACTATTTGGAATTCTTTATACCTTATTCTCAGGCGGACCTTGCTCTTTCACCCGGGTAATGCCTATGAAGCACAATGCCTCTGGATTAGGGTAAAATACTCTCTTCTGACCTCCATATTTATTTCTCTTGGAGTCACTTCCTTCTTATAGCAGAAGAATCAATATACTTTCATTGCTAGGCTCAAGCCCAGAGTTGATATTTCATTTCTCCTTAAACCTCTGGATGCATGTCAAACCTGGCATGCTGAAGTAACACATTAGCTTACAGATTTGCACCAGCTGTTGCCTTTGCTTTCAACACTTTTTCCAAATAATTTGTTTGGCTTCCTTAACTTTCTTCAAGTCTTTGCTCAAATATTATCTTCTCAATGAGGTCACGTCTGATAGAAAGAGGCAGAGACTGCAAACTGATTTGCAATCTAACACTAAAACTTACAAAAGTAAGGCAGCAAAGAAAACTACTATGTAACTCTGGTTATGAATATAAATATAAAAACATCTTAAAACTAGTGACACATATAATTCAACAAGAGCATAATCCATTCTGAGCTACAGAAATGCAGGAGTATAATAATTATTTTAAAGCTAATATATAATGTATAACAACTGCACTAGGAAAGGTTTCTAAATTCACTTGTCTCAGTACATCATAGAAAAGACTATGGTTTAAATTTCATTACAGTATCTTATACAATTAACAAACTAAGAAACGAATGGTACTTATTAACCTGGTTACATATTGTGAATGGATAGTATGGTGAATGTTTAAAGTTTTTAAAAAACCCTTATTATAATAAAAGTTGCATCACCATTAATCCCCCTCAAAACACCACACCCCTTTGCTCTGGACCCACTATCTTTCTTGTCACTTTTTGTGGCAGTTCTGGAAGTATTTTTTCATCTCATCTTTAGCAATGTTGTCATAGCTGCCTTGATGTCCTGAATTAACTCAATGTTTACTTTTCATGACCATTTTGACTTTGAGCAAGAGCCAAAAGTTGCACATTATGAAGTTCGGTGAATAAGGTGGATAAGGATACTTGGTAGTGTTTTTACTTGATAGAAATTGCCATGATGTTTGATCAGAGAAGATTGATTAGTTAAAAGATTTATTTCAATAAAACATAGATTGCCATTAATCCTCTTCAAATTATGTCCAACTTGATTCAAAAATACTTATCATTCTTGGCATTGTGTCTTTTTCTGTAATAAATTTATTTTAATTTAAATTTTCATCATATTTTTAAGCACCCCTAATAAGCTGTTGTCAAAACAATAGGCAATGTTGTTCTTACACACCAGAGTTAATTCCATTCCAACCACAATCAATGCACAGATGTGAAATATCCTTCCAGTTTTCACTAAAACAACAGGAACTATAAACAAAAGAATTACAATAATTGGAAAGAAGAGGAAATATATCAGTACTGGAGGTTACAAAGTTGAATATATTTAAATAGTTCAAGTCAATTGAAGAGTTAGAAATGTATATCAGAAAGATATATGAATACCTAAACACATAGGAAATGTTTTGCTAAATACCAAGGATAAATAGGAAGAGAATATAATACAATATAGTCTCTTCAAAATACCAAATATAAAATAAATAGGGTAAATCATAGCCAAAAGTGTGTTAGATTTTCACTTAAAAATAGTAAAACTTTACTAAAATATGTAAGGGAAGTGTCAAAAAGTAGAGAGATTGCTATTTTCTTGAATGTCCTTTGTCATTACTACTTTGATAATGGCAATTATTCTTATTTATAATTATATTTTTATATAATCCTAATTAGAAATCCGACTTTTCTGAAAGTTGAAATTGTAATTCTAAATATCTTTAGAAAACTAGCAAATAAGAATATTTTGAAAAATGAAATCATAAGGATTGATTCTTAGAAGGTTTTTGCTACTAAAGTATGCTATAAAACTTAAATTATGAAATGGGATAAGAGTTTAGAAGAAGATTTATGAAAGAAACAAAATAATATCATTTGGATACATTCTTATGCACATAAAATGTAGCACAAATTGAAGTATACAAATCTGTGAAGTATATGAAACAATT